GGACATGGAGCTGCTGTGACGCAAGTCAAATTTCAGACTTGATCTGACCAATAAAGTAACAGTCGTATCGTTATCGTATCGTATGCTTCCCCGCAGCGAGGGTCCCCCCCCACCGTTGACAATTCACGATCGTCACTACACTGATCACAATTTTTATTTTTTTAAATGGCACTGAAAGCCAGGCAGCCTGAAACAAAGTGCACAAAATAAAAACATGTAAAATAAAAACATGGCCTCCCTGACCTGTATGAAGGCACCGTGGTCCGACTTCTGCTTCAGCGCCCTCAGTCTCCTCCCAGAGTTACAGATCGCAGGCGGTCGTTCTCGAGAAAACAGAATCCGACCCGACAGAAGAGACGCTGGCGAGGGGGAGGAGAGGACGAGGGAGCGAATGGGAGTGGAGGAGGAGGAGGCAACAGCCAATGAGGACGCAGGAGAAGAGCCAACATGGCCGCCGCCGATACGACCTGCTGAGCAAGGCAAGGCAAGTTCATTAATACAGCACCTTTCAACACAAGGCAATTCAAAGTGCTTTACAAACATGAAAGACATTAAGAAACACATTATAAAATGGAGGAGGAGGAGGAGGAGGAGGAAGAGGAGGAGGAGACAAACAAATATGGATGTTAAGAACGACAAATAATAAAAGTTGACCTTGTCTGTCCGAGCGGTGACTCCTGCAGATCAGGGGAGGGGAGGAGGGGAGGTTGGCCTCCCTGACGAGGGTGTTAGCGGTGTCATGCAGCCCTTTGGCCACCAGGTGGTTCCTGATCAACACCAGCAGCTCCTTCTGGGAGAAGGTGATCCGTGATTGGGCGACCACGTTGGCCCTCTGCAGGCGAGCCAATGAGACGTCGCTCCCCATGAGGAGAGGTTTCCCCGACACGCGCTCCGTTAGCTCAGCTGCGTAGCGGCAGAAACGCACGTGCTCGCTGCGTTTGTCCTGAAGCAGAGGCTCCTTCATCAGCTGGGAGGAGGAGGAGGAGGAGGAGGAGGAGGAGGAGGACATTGGGATCAATTAAGTACTTCTTATCTTATAATTAATGCTGTCAAAATGATCGCGTTAACGGCGGTAATTAATTTTTTGAATTAATTGCGTTAAAATATTTAACGCATTTAACGCATGTGCAGAATGGCCCGCCCCATACATCCCACCAGCTGCAGCGCTGGGGTAGGCTACACCCATACCAAGAAATGGCTTAGCCCCACCATGAACAATGATGTTAAAGTAAGCAAAATAAAGTCCGCCAACTCGCGCAGAGTAAATTGCACAGACAGCAGTTAGTAAGATTGATTTCAGTAGCCACTTGTCTGGAAATACCGAAGACTAGAAACGGTTTTGAAAACTTTTGTCACGTAGTGATCGTCTTCTCAATAGAACATCTTTGATAATGTCTTCTGGCCAATCAGAATCAAGATAACGGCGTGGTGTTGCAGGAAGTCCCGACGGAGAATACTTTTGCTGTAGTACATCTCTATAATACATCGATACAACATTACGTGTTCATAGAAATCAACACGAAATGAAATAAGAACCCACGGTTTGATGATTGATAGGTGTGTGGGCTGTCTTTCATTTTGAAACACAGACAATGTTATAATAAACACACATACATACTGTATGTTAAATGGATATATCCGCCTTCTTTCATTTATCTTTCCATTCCCACAACAATATACATAAAGAAATGGAATATTTTGGACATAGTTCGAATGTTGATTAATCATGAGTACCGGTAATTAATTTTTAAACTGTGATTAATCTGATTAAAATGTTTAATCGTTTGACAGCCCTAGTTTATACATATGCACACATTCAAATATATCAATACAAGCACAACAGTCAATATATACAAAATAACACTTCAAAATCTGTGAAAAGTGTATAGTGAAGGA